TGATTGCTCGACTGCACCCCAGCCTGGGCCACAGAACAAAACTTTGTCTCAACAAAAAAAAAAGTATTTATTATGTATGGTCATTTTTAAAAATCTGACAATAACTGAAAAGTCTGAAATCATTTAAAGGTGACAAGAGCTTTGGTAGTATTGTAGAAGGAGATCTTAGAACTAAGTGCTGCATTAGTTGTAAAGATAAGAATTTGTGACTTTTAAATTGGCAAACTCCATGTGGAACTTAGAAAAGTAGGGACTGATTGGTCTCAGACTTGTCTTTGAAGATCAGTTCCATTTTGGAATGGCACAGTTGAATCTCTAAATTTTAAAAAATTAGGTAGATAGAGTTTATGTGTTTTGTGAAATTGATTGTATTTCTTGCAGAAAGTGCTAGGCGGGGACAGTGCTATGAGGGCCTTCCAGAACACGGCAGCTGCGTGTGCACCAGTATCACATTATCGAGCTGTTGAAAATGTGGATTCAAGTGAAGAGAGTTTTTCTGATTCAGATGATGATGGCTGTCTTTGGAAACGCAAACGACAAAAATGTTTTAACCCTCCCAAACCAGAGCCTTTTCTGTTTGGCCAGAGCAGTCAAAAACCACCTGTTACTGGAGGAAAGAAGGTTAACAACATATGGGGTGCTGTGCTGCAGGAACAGAATCAAGATGCAGTGGCCACTGAACTTGGTATCTTGGGAATGGAGGGCACTATTGACAGAAGCAGACAATCTGAAACCTACAATTATTTGCTTGCTAAGAAACTTAGGAGGGAATCTCAAGAGCATACAAAAGAACTAGACAAGGAACTAGATGAATATATGCATGGTGACAAAAAAATGGGATCAAAGGAAGAGGAAAATGGGCAAGGTCATCTCAAAAGGAAACGACCTGTCAAAGACAGGCTAGGGAACAGACCAGAAATGAACTACAAAGGTCGATACGAGATCACAGAGGAAGATTCTCAAGAGAAAGTGGCTGATGAAATTTCATTCAGGTGAGCATTTGAATTACAAATAAGTACTAGACCAGATGGTTTCTTAGGAAATAAAGTAAAATAGATGCCAAATACTTTAATGATACGTTCCTTTTTTTTTTTTTTTTTTTTTTTTTTTTTTTTTTTTTTTTTTTTTTTTTTTTTTTTTTTTTTTTTTTTTTTTTTTTTTTTGAGACAGGGTCTTGCTCTGTCACCCAGGCTGGAGTGCAGTTGCTCACTGCAACCTCCTGGCTCAGGATTCTCCCACCTCAGCCTCCTGAATAGCTGGAACCAAGGCACATACCACCATGACCAGCTATTCTTTGTATTTTTGGTAAAGACAGGGTCTTGCCATGTTGTCCACGCTACTTTCGAACTCCAGAGCTCGAGGGATCCACATGCCTTGGCCTCTCAAAGTGTTGGGATTACAGGTATGATCCTCTGAGCCAGCCTAATTTGTTTTATATTATTATTTTTTTTGAGACAGGATCTCACTCTGTTGCCCAGGCTGGAGTGCAGTGCTGCAATCACACCTCACTGCAGCCTGGAACTCTTGGGCTGAAGGGATCCTTCCACAGTCTCCTGAATAGATGGGACTACAGGCATAGGCCACCATGCCTGGCTGATAAAAAAAAAAAAAAAATTAGAAGGGATTTCACTATGTTACCCAGGCTGGTGTCAAACTCTTGGGCTCAAGCAGTCCTCCCACATTGGCCTCCCAAAGTGCTGGGATTATATGCATGAGCTACTGCACTGCTCACAGATTTTTTTTTTTTTTTTTTTTAAGAGATGATCTTGCTCTGGTCACTCAGCTGGAGTGCAGTAGCACAATCATATTTCGCTGCAGCTGAACTCCTGGGCTCAAGCAGTCCTCCTGCCTCAACTTCCCAGATTGCGGGGATTATAGGTGTGAGCCACTGCATCTGACTCTTTTTGAGAATTTTTCTGGTTTTATTTTTGAAACAGTTTTGCTCTGTCGCCCAGGCTGGAGTGCAGTGGTGCAATCTTGGCTCACTGCAGCCTCCCCTCTGGAGTTCAAGCGATTCTTATGTCTCAGCCCCCTGAGTAGCTGGGATTATAGGCATTTGCCACCACACCCGTTAAATTTTTTTGGGGGGTTTTTGTTTTTGTTTTTGTTTTTTTTTGTATCTTTAGTAGAGATGGGGTTTCACCATGTTGACCAGGCTGGTCCCAACCTCCTAACCTCAGGTAATCCACCCGCCTTAGCCTCCCAAAGTGCTGGGAATACATGCATGAGCCACCGTGGCTGTCTGTATTTTCATTTCTTTTGGGTGAATACCCAGAAGTAGAATTGTTTGATGTATGGTAAATTTACAATTCATGTATTTTTACTCTGAATGTATCAAAAGTTCAGATTTGAATTAACATTTTCATTAGCTCTAAATCACTAAGGAACAGTATCACAAATTTGAAAACAGGTATGGTTTAAGAGTAATGTAGCTGGTAGGAAAACAAGTATTTACTTACCAGGCAAGCCTATCTGAATACCAGTACTTCACTTTTAAAATACTGGGGGAAGTTTGGGATTTGAGTGCTGGAAAGGAACTTAGAGATTTTGTAAACTAAAACTTTCATTTTACAGGTTAATGTTAGACCTGGAGCTAAACCCTGATCCTTGTGTTCCAAGTCTGTTGCTCTTTCCACAAAAAGGCACTGCCTCCTGTTGAGGAGAAACAAAGGGTGCCAGGTCTGAATTCTCGATCTCTTGAAAGTGTGAGCTTTAACACTGGAGAATTACTTAGGCTACCTATGTTTCTAACCTCTCAATGACAAAATGAAAACAATAGTACCTATCTTGTAACATACTTCAGAGAATCAACTGGTGTAGTACATGTAAGGTTCTTAGGATTGTGCTTACTGTAATCATAATAAGCCATCAGTAAATATTAGCTATTTCTATTTTTTTGTCCTGAGGCAGGGAGTCTATGAGGGAAAGGTCCTATCCCATTTTAAAACTCCAGACATCTCTGGAGTTAAGGGAACTAGCTTTTAGGCATAATAATTGAAAGCATATATGTCTGTTACTTTGATAATAGTGGACTGGTTTTTTCTTCTTTTGCATTTAGGCCTGCATTCATCGTGCTGTATGTGCACATTTATTTTGAAATCTGTTATAATCCAATAAGGCAAATAAGCCAAATATGAGAGTTTAGATGGAAACTTGAGGTTACCTTCTCCTTGTGTGACCCAAGATTAGGAATATTTTCATGTCAATGATTCCAAGATTAAATATTGAAGCTTTAGAAAAGTAAGTGTTACTAGAATCAGATTTTTATTCTAGCTGGGGGTTAAGCTGGAGAATGAGGTAGATTTCTTCAACTTTGTACAACAAACAAAGAGGTTAATTTTACTTATTTGTTTCTTATCAGGTTACAGGAACCAAAGAAAGATCTGATAGCTCGAGTAGTGAGGATTATTGGGAACAAAAAGGCAATTGAACTTCTGATGGAAACTGCTGAAGTTGAACAAAATGGTGGTCTCTTTATAATGGTAACACTGCTTAACTGTTTTTCATTTTGTATTGTTTGTATTGTTTATCCTGTGTTTTTGTTTTTGATTACAAATTTAACTTGGCTTTTACTGGATCTCTGATTTATTATGCATTATTACAGCAAGCTTAAAGTTTTTAAACCATTATCAATTATGAAGACTGGGTTAAAAAAAAAAAATTAGTGGCGGGTGCAGTGGCTCACACCTGTAATCCCAGCACTTTAGGATGCCAAAGTGGGCCGGGCGTGGTGGCTCAAGCCTGTAATCCCAGCACTTTGGGAGGCTGAGGCGGGTGGATCACGAGGTCAAGAGATCGAGACCATCCTGGTCAACACGGTGAAACCCCGTCTCTACTAA